TAGAGATACAGAGAAGACTAGTATGGCCCTTTTGTAATAATGGCATGCAAATTTGTGAAGTGTTCTATATTTTTGACAAAGTCTCACTCTGTCACCCGGGCCAGAGTGCCAGCAGCCTCAGACTAGCTGGCAACCTCAAACTCTTGGGTTCAAGTAATCCTCCTGCCTCAGCCCCCTGAGTAACTGGCATAACAGGTGCCTCCCATGATGCCCGGCTCATTTTTCTATTTTTAGGAGAGACGGGTCTCTCTCTTGCTTAGGCTGACCTTGACCACTTGAGCTCAAGGGTTCCTCCCGCCTCAGCCTAGCTGAATGCTAGGATTCCAGGCAGGAGCCACCTAGCCTGGCCAGGTTGTCTTTCTTTTTACAGCTGAATAGTATTCAATTGTGCAGACACACCACGTTTTCTTTTTGTGCATTTCCATCTGTCTTTTTTTGTGGGGGAGTAGTATGAGGGTACATATGTTTAGATTACATTATTTATATTTGTAAGTTAACATCCAAAGTCCAAGATGTAGTTGTGCTGAAACTATAGAACGCTTCACGAATTTGCATGTGGTCGTTGTAAAAGGGCCATGCTAATCTTCTCTGTATCTTCCCAAGTTTTAGTATAAACGCTGCCAAAGTGAACACACACCGTATTTTCTTTATCCATTCATCTGTTGATGGGGACTTAGGTTGACTCTGTATCTTGGCTGTTGTGAATAGCGCTGCAATAAACATGGAGTTTAGCTAGTTATCTCTCCAGCATAATGATTTCCTTTCCTTCAGATATTTACTCAGTCATGGGATTCCAAGCATCATTTTATAAAGGAAAAAGTAGAGATACAGAGAAGTTAGGTAACTTGTCCTAGGATCACACATCTGTTAAATGTCAGGTCTACCTCAGGAAAATTTTTGAGAAGATACAGTAAAATCGTACACTGAAGTTTTGAAAAAAGTTACAATAATTATTTAAGTTTGTTTCTCATCGAAGAAAACCTACAAAGCCAATAAGCTAAAAAGTCAAGGAGCAAAATAAGGTGAAGTTATGAAGATGGTTCAAATTTATAAATTCTGAATAACAGAGAGTGAAAATGAAAGAAGAATGTCAGAAGTGCAAAGTCAGGAATACACAATTAAAGAATTACTGTTTTAGAACTTTCATGTATATCTAAAAACTTCTCAATGGCCACATAAGAATAACTTTCCTGAATGAAATCTGTGCACTTTCCTCCCTATCAGGGGTTGGGAATGATCTGTAATCAAAGCTCCATTCAAGAAACCTCAATTAACTAACACACTTTGAAATGTATGCTATTTTGTAAAAATCTAATTACTGTGTAATTAATAATTTAAAAAAATGAAAACTATTGTTTTGTTTTAAAGTTAACCAAATTTGGCGGCATTTGTAGCTCAGTGGGTAGGGCACCAGCCAACATACACCGAGGCTGGCAGGCTCGAACCGGACCCAGGCCAGCTAAAACAATAATAACTGCAACAAAAAAAAGCCAGGTGTTGTGGCAGACACCTGTAGTCCCAGCTACTTGGGAGGCTGAAGCAAGATAATCACTTAAGCCCAAGAGTTTGAGGTTGCTGTGAGCTATGACACTACGGGACTCTACCCAAGGCAACAGCTTGAGACTCTGTCTCTAAAAAAATAAAAAGTTAACCAACCTTTCAATGACTTTGTTGTGCCTGGTTTTTAGGTCCACAGTTTCAGCTGATCCTCTAGGTGGGGAACCAGTCATTTGTGACCCTAAGGGCATCTTGATTGGTGTTTGGTAGGAAAATGTAGATTCCCAGCAGTAAGTGGTTGAAAAGCAAAAAGCGTTTTTCAGGCATTTTGCCAGAAGTGTGGCTATTCTACTGCATTTTTCCCTATTTCAGTCAGATCTTCCTTAGCATTAAACAATGACTTTAGAATGTCAGCAACTGAGAGCTCCATCTGCAGCTCTTTAGGTGCCTGGTGATAGCAGCTGGGTGAGGCTGAAATGCTAATTTGAGTGTGATGTCATGATTCTCAAAGTCATGAACCATTCAGTCTCTAGTAAATAGGTCTATAACAGCTGTATATTCTTTAAATGATTCATATATATCATCCTACTTATCAATGACCTTCGTTAACTGGGTAACAATGTTCATCTAAAATTTCCTTTATGGCTCAGCAACTGTAGCACAGTGGTTATGGTGCCAGCCATATACACCCAAGGTGGCGGATTCAAACCCAGCCCGGGCCAGCTAAACAACTTAAAACAGAAAAATAGCTGGGCATTGTGGAAGGCGCCTATAGTCCCAGCTACTTGGGAGGCTGAAGCAAGAGAATCACTTAAGCCCAAGAGTTTGAGGTTGCTGTGAGCTGTGATGCCACAGCCCTCTACTGAGGGTGACATAGCGAGAATCTGTCTCAAAAAATAAATTAATTAATTAATTAATTAAATTTCCTTTAGAAGAAGTGTTTTGAAAAAGATACCTTTTACCAAGAGAAACATAGTAAAACCTTGTCTCAAAAAAAAAAAAAAAGAGAGATAACCTTTATTCAAAACTCTTTTTGAAATGCTTGTATTTTTTTCCACATATCACATACAGACATAGTTTTATCTTGCAAAGAAATATTCAGGTCATTTTGCTCTGACATGATATCATACACAAATGCTGCATTCCTTTAAAAATCATCATCAGTAATTCACATTGCTGATCCTGTTTTTCATAAAATTTAACTCTCTGTTCTCACAGACATAAAATTTTCGCTAATACTTGTTCCAGTGATAGTCAATGCACTTTAAAAGGATACCAACCTGACTACCTCATCATTCAACTTTAGCATGTTACTCAACTGAGGATGTTGCAGTTGCCCAAATATAGTTAGCAATACTTGTGGCAAAATGTCACTTAAAATAGGTAATAGCTTTAGTACAGAGATTTTGCTGATGCAAGATACAATGAAAAGAAACGAGAGTATCTGGATCCCTTAATACTTTTTTAAATCTGTGCAACAAACCCTTCATGTTTTCCTGCCATGGAAGGTGCACCGTCTGTACACACACTCACTAAATTTACCAAATTCAGTCCAACTTCACAACATTTATCTTGAAAGTTGTTGAAGATATCGTTCCCTGTGTTCTATTCGCAAGAGTACCCAAAGTTAACTCTCTGTAGCCAAAAAAAACAACCTGTTTTGATCTGAATGAAGTTTAAAACCTGTGCCAAGTTAGTAGTATCAGTTGATTTATCCGAAGCAATTGAAGAATATATATTTTCCTTTTGAAGTATGGCATGAAGTTGTTCTGTGAAATTGAAGGCTAATTCACGCTGCTGATCAGTTACAGTTCTCCTTGAAAGAAGTACTTGTTTGTACTCAGAGATGTTATCAGGGTCTAAGCAACCTACAACTTTGACAATGCCTTCTTTCACAATTCCTACCTCACTGAATAGCTTCTCTTTTTCCCCTGAGTATATAAGCTACTTTATACGTTGCATTAGCAGCATAATTTCTAGGTTTTATTGCTGCTTTAAAGAACAATCTTTGCCGTTGCTTTTCATTTTTTAATTTCTGCAGTGCAATCTTTCACACTGCTTCCTCTAATTTAAAACGTTTGTGGTCCTGATGAGTGTTATAATGCTGATAAGCATGGAACTTCTTTAATTTTTTTTTTTTTTAATTGAGACTGAGTCTCACTCTGTCACCCTGGGTAGAGTGCCATGGCATCATAGCTCACTGCAACCTCAAACTCTTAGACTTGAGCAATCCTTCTGCCTCAGCCTCCTGAGTAGCTGGGACTACTGGTGGTGGTGTATGCCACCAAACCTGGCTAGTTTTTTTTTTCTATTTTTAGTAGTTATAGATAATATTACAATTCTCAAGCCTCATTAAAACTCCATTTTCTTCCTTCAGTGTTCTCCTAGTCTTCTTTGATATGATGGGTTGTTCAGACAGAATTAAAAAATATTGTGAAGCTGTGCAACTATTCCCATATGTAAGTCCTGGGTCTGGGGTGTAATGGCCCAGGGATCATCTTGTTTCCTCTCACCACCATGCAGAAATGGCTTCTGCTTGTAAGTCCCTAGTAAACATTCCTTTCTGAGAAACTGGATATGTCAGCCTCTTTCTTTAGACTCCCAGTTTCCCTAGACTTTAGGGGTTTGTGTAGACCTGATCATTGCAGAATATATGTTCATGAGGGATATTGATTGGCCTATAGTTTTCTTGTAATGCCTTTTTCTGGGTTTTGGTATCATGGTAATAAAGGTGAGCTGCACAGAATTGGGAAATGTTCCCTCCTCAATTTTTAAGTAGAATTTACAAAGAATTAGCATTATTTATTCTTTGGTAGAATTTTTCAGTGAAGCAATCTTGGCCTGAAATTTTCTTTATAGGAAGGTTTTTAACAACAATTTCAATTTCTTTACTAGCTAGAAGGATATTCAGATCACCTATGTCTTCTTTACTGAGCTTTGTCTTTTAAGGAATATGTCCTTTTCATCTAACTCGAATTTACTGGCATAGAGTTGTTCATATTATTGTCCTATTACCCTTTTAATGTCTCTCAAATATGTAATAATGTCCCAGTTCTCATTCCTGATATTATTAACTTGAGTCTTCTCTCATTTTATTCCTGAGAAGTCTAGCCAGATGTCTATCATTTTTCTTTAACTGCTCAAAGAAACAAACTAATTTTTTTCATTGATTTGCTCTTTTGTTTTTCAGTTTTACATTTCATTGATTTCTGCTCTTATTTTTATAATTCTTTTTGTTCTGTTTACTTTGGGTTTTTTTCCTAGTTCTTAAGGTGGAAACTGAGGTCTCTGCACTGAGGGAAGTTTAGGATTTAGAGTTATAAATTTCCCTCTATGCTCTGCTTTTGCTACACTCTGCAAATTTGGGTATGTTACGTTTTCATTCCTGTTCAGTTCAAAATACTTTTTAATTTTCCTTTGCCCTTGGGTTATTTAGAAGGGTGTTATTTTATTTCCAAATATTTGGAGATTTTCCAGTTAACTTCTTTTATTGATTTCTGATTTAATTTCACTATGGTCAGAGAACACACTTTGTATGATTTGAATGGTTTTTAATTTATTGAGACTTACTTTATAGCTTAGAATATGGTCTATCTTGGTAACTGCTCAGCAGCAGGGGAAAAATGTGTATTCCACTGTTGTTGTATTACATATGGTCAAGTTGGTTGGTAGTGTTGATTCAAGCTTTCTATATTCTAATTGTCTGCCTATTTATTCTATAAATCATTGGGAGAGAGGTATTGAAATCATTGATTGTAATTGTGGATTGTTTATTTCCTCTTTCATATCTATCAGTTGTCACCACAGGAATGTTGAGGCTTTGTTATTAGGCGCATAAACTTTTAGGGTTATTATGTTTTCCTGATGAATTGACTTCTTTATGGAATAAACTTTTTATGCTTGGTAACATTCTTTTTGCTGAAATTTACTCTGTCTGATATTAATATAGCCACTGGAACTTTCTTTTGATTAATGTTGACCTGTTATATCTCTTACTATCTTTTTACTTTTAATTTAAGTTGTTATATTTAAAGTGGGTTTCTAAGCTCAGCGCCTGTGGCTCAAGTGGCTAAGGTGCCAGCCACATAACACCTAAGGTGGTGGGTTCGAATCCAGCCCAGCCTGCCAAACA